AAAAAATGGCACTCTTCGTGTGATATTGATCAACTATATGAAATGATATAAATATATACATTTTCTGCCCCCATATCTTGAATTTTGGGAGCATTCTAAATGCATTTTATGATACTGAATCATGCAGTGAAAGAACACACTCTAAATGAGCATTCAGTCTAGCTAGTGTTTAAGCACTCATAACTACTCTTATAATCTATGAAGCTGTCCATACACTGTATGATAAATTAATCTCTTATTTACATTGTACGTACATCTGCACTTTGTTGCTTATGATGAGGAAATTCACGAGTTTCAGTCCGAACAAAACTCTGGGTTTCAGCGATGACTAATCTGAATGCCTCTGATTGGCTACTGCATTCCTAAGCTCAACAGAATCGTGTGTGATTGGTTATAATGAGCAACGCTGTAAAAACGCATAAAAATAAAATATGATGTAACATAAGCAGGTCTAAATTTAATACAGCAATCGAAACTTCATTTTAAGTATTAAAGTTTTATTGAAAAACCAGGGGACCCCCCCATAACACCCAAAAAATATACTTGGGGGGGCTTATGGGAGGTCCGGGACCCCCCCAGCCCCCCCTCAATTCTAACACTGCTTTCATCTAGCCTCTGTATAACAGATTGTGTTTACAGCGGTAATCAAGGAAACAATGCATCACTGCTGTTCAGTATTGGATTCTGTCATGAAAAAATTAAGATCAGTGCATCCCTAAATTTATGAATGTTTGAAATGAAGAAATTAAGATTTAAATGTGAGTATTGTAGCTGTCTTTGGACGATAACATTCTCTAATTTAAATAGCTAGCTGAGTTAATGTCAGTTTATTTATTTATTTATTTTTTTGTGCAGCCGTCTTATTTCATGTAATTTGTTTTATGCCATAAAGCCATGCAGTTTCTGTGTGAATGATCGGTGGTGGAATTGGCTGCGATGCAAGGGGCACAGCTAAAATCTTGCCTAGAGCACTAAATTGGTCAGGGCCGGCCCTGGCTGAAACACCGGAGTTTTGTTCAGTGCGCGCACTCGCTGCTGAATTCTGCTCTCTCGCGAATTCTCTCCTCATAAACAACAAAGTGCAGATGTATGTGCGAATGTTTGAAATGAAGAAATTAAGATTTAAATGTGAGTATTGTAGCTGTCTTTGGACGATAACATTCTCTAATTTAAATAGCTAGCTGAGTTAATGTCAGTTTAT